TGTAGCAATGTGCGATTTGAAGGAAATACCAAGAAAGTATATAATGCCTAACAAAGCTCTATACTCGAACTCGTGAAGCTGTGTAAGACCTTGGAGAGATTTTTCATTTGAAATGACGATAACTAATGGTATTCGCTACGGATGTCCGCTGTCACCATTCCTATTCAACTTCGCTATAGATGTATTGTTGGACACAACCCTAAGTACTTCTGACTTCGCAAGTATCTATCTACTCCCTGGAGGGCATCTCGTTGACTTGGAGTACGCTGAAGACATTGTGTTGCTAGATGAAAACACCGACAGAAATCAGGGTCTTCTGAACGTGTTGAACACAAATCTGAGTATGTTTGGCATGCGTTTTTCATCTGTCAATTGTGAGATGGCGCTTCGGGGTTGGTCTGATGCAAGGACTCCCAGTTTAAGAATCAGAAGTGAATTAATGGAATGCGTTGATGACCACTTGAATTACTTTTGGAGTTGCGTCAGCCCGAATGGGCTAGTTGCCGACGTAATCTCAGCTCATATACGAAAGGTCTGTTTGGTACTCGCCAAATTGAGTCACCTCGTGCCGAATTGTGAGATATCACACTACCTACCAATGGATGAGCATACTACACTACAGTCCGTTCTGTACTGTTAAATGACTGAGGCATGGGCGTTAAAGGTAGAAGACATGAGGCAGTTACAAGTTTTTGATCACATGTGTCTTCGTGGCATTACTCACAATTAGTAGAATCACCATGTGAGCAATGTTGAGATTAAGAGAAGGATACTAGGCAAGACAGCCAAGTCATTCAGTGGGGTTGTGAACCTTCATCCACTGAGGTAGCTTGAACATGTACTGCGCATGCCGAGTCACCGCCTACCTCGACATACCATGCTAGAGAAAGTTGGATCAGTTTGAGAGAGAGTTCAACGTGACTAGACCAAGACGTGGGACCAGTCAATGAAGTCCTTGACTATTGATCTGAGTCGTGTGCGGAGATGCAGACTAGTTGACTGGCTGAGGTTTGTGAGACGATAAGAATGAGTGGTTGAGAACTTTTGTTGCAACAGTTGAAAATCAGTCACATTAGTGCAGATGTATTCATTCTTAGACGTCTTTTGAAGCTTGAATAACCTAACGAACAATAACATCAATTATCTCCCGCCCATATACCTTGTTTTCTGTCACAGTATTGCTTCCCGTCCGTCTGTTCTTTGTATGCCACTGTGAAGTGTGGCAACGTAAACTGATGCACTTATATTCTACGCTTGTTTTGTGCCTATTTTCCTTTTAGAAACTTTTGAAGCCAATGGAATGAACGACGGCTACAGTGCAATCTTATGGTGCGCATTTGCGGATAAAATTTAGCTGGCTTCGAAGTAAAAGGGTAGGAAAGATAAATAAAATACGGAGAAAACCTAGACATAGTTGACTGCTACGGAGGAACTGTGCAGCCTTAAAGCGACAAACTTAGTTCAAAATGTCACTCAAGATATCAGATGGGATATTTACACACGTATAGAGAAAGTCTATTGACGAA